ACGAACATTGCTGACTTTCATTCCGCTATATCATTGTTTCTGTTGCTAGTTATACTTGTGTTAATTAGTATTTAATGTAAGTTACTCGTATTTCAGGTAACTGAACATATAACCTAACCTAACCAATAGCACATAAGATCAATGAAATAAATGGAGGAATATGTTCGAATAACTTTTGAATTGTCAAGTCTTCCTTATTTCACAGCACATTTTTTCAGCTTCTGCTTCTTTTTGGAACACCTTCCAGTTATTTGCTTCTCCTGAACAATCGAAATTTATACTTTACCTTGTCCTAAATAGTTATGTTCTCCTTTGATTTAAAAGTTTCAATGTGAATGTTCCCAAACACTGCATGAATATCACTGCAGTGATACCTGCAATGTTAAGTGCCTAGATACGAAAAGAGTGATGCGCCTAGACTTGCGAACATGTTTTAATAACGAATACTAATACATTTTTATATTATATTATATTTTCTTTATTGTTGTGGTTTGATGTGTGTTATTTGTTTCTGATATTATGGTGATTCAAACATAATAATAATAGGGCAAAAAGGTGACTACTCCATGGGTTTGTGCGGAACGCATTTTTTGCTTATACATTAATTATTATTGGAAATATTCTTTCCACATACACGAACATTTCCACATAAGAACCCAGTCACGGAACAGACTAAGTTCTTATGTGGAAGGATCACTGTTTATCAAGTCCATACTAATTTCATGTTAATTATTATTAGGGAGCATCACGCCTCATACGCCCCAGTCTTGTATAATAAAATATAATTTCATATTCCTAAGTTTTAAACGAATTAATTAATTATATGTATACTCATTATAAAAAATTTAATGTAATATTTTTAGTACGCCTTAATTAGGATTCATAATTAAAATACGATAGCCACAATATCCCGTCACGGTAGAAATTGAAATATGACGATGGGTAAGATTCGTGCTCGAATATCTTTTCTTTATATTCACCTTTTTATTAATATATTATATTACATATATATGCATTTTATATATATTTTTTAATAAATATATTTATAGAGGCTACTAAATACAAACATCTCTCAAAAAACGTATTCGTTTCTTAAATACTCGCAGGGTTGTGATAATGAGCTCAATACACAAGCAAATAAACCACGCATCCCATTAATCACGAGGCCTTGAGCTGGTAGCCGCTTCATAACAAATGAGTTATTGTTTGTTTCCCGCACGGCTTAGTTACTACACACAAAAAACGCACACGCTTTAGCATGGTTATTTACTATTTTTTTAATTATGCTTACTTGCAAGTGACGTGTATTGATGAGATGCTTACTTCATGTAATATATATATTTATGGTGATAGAATTTAATTGAATAGAATAAAATTTTGAATCTCAATTCAGTGCGTCAGTCCTCTTGTCTTCAATAATTATTGATGATTTCAAATTACTACTTATGTTATCTCAATACGATCAATGGCAATGAATTTGAGCAATTGGTGGCAATGCTCCATTGTCCTGCACCTCCCAAACACAATGTAAAACATAAAATCAGTGACACAAACGCGTTTACTTAATAAATAATAGCAATATTGTCGTTAGAACGTTAGGATAGCAGCGGTAAATATATTGTGAACAACAGAAGCCAATGCAGCCTGAGGCAGCGCATCTCACTGCACTTGTCATGCAATCTGTAAAACACAACTTGACTTCCTTCCACCTTGATTTTTTGCAAAAAAATAAACTTGATAAACTTCCTTAAAACTTGATTTTTTGCAAATTATCGGTAAACAAAATAGACACGGGAGGCAGTGATAAAGGAACAACTGCTTTTCCACAGAAGAAAAGACACAGGCAACATCACCATTAGACACACACATACAACTTGCCTCTGTCACACCACGCGGTGCACTGAAACATTCGTCAGCACTCAGCTCGCGTTATCTATGAAGGTCATTGAGAGCATCTGCGTCTCTTTGCTGTCGCTATTTGCAAATGGTGAATGGTTCCACTTAAGTAGGAGCTTTATTCACTTAATAGACAACGGTAAAAAGTTATACACAAGTAGCAATAATTTTCATCTGGCAATTGTTATTAATCTACAGAATTTATTAGTATCTCTGAGTGCACTGGAAGTCAGAATTTCCGTACAAATGTCCTCTTTCGCTCGCCGAGCATTGTTTGCGAACACGCGGTTGCCGAACGTTTGCGAACAGGATTCCAACTGATAACCTGTACCAACCTGTAGCAGTTATCTGCATGAAGCATAAATCACGTAATTTTGAATATCTAATTCTATAATATCGAATTCGCTTAAACTAGTAACCTAAAATAAAGGGCAGAGGAAAATGAAGCATTAATTTTAATCATTTAATCGTTGCGTTTTCTTAGTCCTTATTAAAAATTTGTTTATTCGTCTGGTGGATTTATCCAACCAGATTTAAGTACCTTAAATTAAACAGAACAAAATGAAACCGTTACGGCAAGATGAAGTCAATTGTTACTTTTAACGAAAGAATTTCAATCACAAGGCATATTCGATTATGTGTCACTATTTTCGTCTGCTCCAATTGATATCCTGCACTGTTAGAAAAACGGTGAAAAAAATGTCCCACCGGCATCCTAGTGGCCGGTCGCCCCGTGAAAATAAACTGTTTTGCCGTTTTTATCAGATGTTTTACGGATTTCTGGTGTTAAATTGGAATAAAAACGGTGAAATGGTGTTTCTTTTCACGTGCCGACCGGCCACTGAAACGCCGGTATTACCGTTAACGGTCCTTTTTCTAACAGTGTGGAAATTAAACTTAAATAAAAGGTGAATCAATCGATTAAATTAATTATAAGTTATTGTTAATCAGATAATTTCAGTAAATAAATCGATATTTATTATAATTTTCATTTTAAAACAGTTGATCAGACCCCCCGAGTGCCCACTTCAGCCCATCACATGACATGGTCTTAAAAAAATTGAAATTTTTATGAAATTTGAATTTTACGAAAAGAAAGGCTGAAAACACGATGATATAGTCAGAGTCGAATTGAAAATATAAATTAGCCAAATTATGACGTCACCATAATCTTAAATATAAATTAATTTATTTTAATAACTCTCACTCAAAATGGTATGAATCTTTCGTTTAGTTACAGCTGCGATTACTGTTGATTACTGTTACAGCAATAATGGCTTTCACGAGTATTTCAACATTTAAATTGAGTTGTTTTATTCACTGGCAAAAGATAACCTTACTGGTACATATATTTTTGCTTTAGAATGAAGTGTATGGATAATTTTATATACTCAGCGCAGATTAGTAAATCATATCATGAGAGACAATCGTTGGACGTTTAAAAATTGCCCAGACTATCGAGGTTTATCTTATCAGAACTTGATTTTTTCATATCCGTATGTGAAAAGAATTAAATCATTGCGTTTCAAGATACCAGTGACAATTTTGTGGAAGAGAATAAGTTTGTTCGATAGTTATAAGTTTGTGATCTTTTTGTTGTTGCAATTTTAGTTACTTTGATAATCATAATCTATTATTACTGTCGAAAAATTTGTATTGTTTTTATTTTATGGCAATAATGTTTTAAGCTGCATTTTTTCTTGAAGTATCGTAATTTGAATTGATCATTGAGTTTTAACTTAGAGACGATCCATGTAGAAGTATGCGTAGAACAGGAAAATTATGACATTTTACTAGAAAAATTGAATTAAGGTAAACATTAGTTAATCATGCATGAACGATGAATTTGAGCTTTCCACCTAAGTAGGCCGGGAACATTAACCTGCAGCGGATGAGGAATCGCGGCAATTTACTGATATATTTTGCTAATTGGCTAGTACATTGTGGTATTGGGCTAGTAAAACGTAGTAATTGATCAATTCATTGTGGTAATTGGCTATAATAATGAGGTAATGGGCTAGTGCACTGAGGTAATTGGCTAGTACATTGAGGTATCTGGCCAATATATTATGATAATTGCTCATTGAATTGTGGTAATTGGCTAGTACATTGAGCTAATTGGTTAGAACACTAAGGTATTTGATAATTTGCTTATGGGTAAAATATGAGCTATATATTAATGGAATATGTAGCCCCTGCCTTACTGAGGCTTTTCTGTAGGAAGTGCATTGCGCAGCGTGAAATGTCAACGATAATTTCGCCGAGTGATCCTGTGATATTCCCTTCTGTAACCTCACGCCCCGGCGAGAGGAACTCGTCTCATCCGACACTGCGGTCCAGTTCTAAGGACAGCGAGGGGAGCTCGTCTCATCCGACACTGCGGTCCAGTTCTAAGGACAGCGAGGGGAGCTCGTCTCATCCGACACTGCGGTCCAGTTCTAAGGACAGCGAGGGGAGCTCGTCTCATCCGACACTGCGGTCCAGTTCTAAGGACAGCGAGGGGAGCTCGTCTCATCCGACACTGCGGTCCAGTTCTAAGGACAGCGAGGGGAGCTCGTCTCATCCGACACTGCGGTCCAGTTCTAAGGACAGCGAGGGGAGCTCGTCTCATCCGACACTGCGGTCCAGTTCTAAGGACAGCGAGGGGAGCTCGTCTCATCCGACACTGCGGTCCAGTTCTAAGGACAGCGAGGGGAGCTCGTCTCATCCGACACTGCGGTCCAGTTCTAAGGACAGCGAGGGGAGCTCGTCTCATCCGACACTGCGGTCCAGTTCTAAGGACAGCGAGGGGAGCTCGTCTCATCCGACACTGCGGTCCAGTTCTAAGGACAGCGAGGGGAGCTCGTCTCATCCGACACTGCGGTCCAGTTCTAAGGACAGCGAGGGGAGCTCGTCTCATCCGACACTGAGGCCCAGTTCCAAGGACGGCAAGGGGAGCTCGTCCTATGCAGCGCTGCGGTCCAGACAACAAGATTTTGCTACTTCTTCCCGTCAGCAAAGACGTATGAGGTGTTAAACAAGTCCTGGATAAAAGTTTTTTCTTTTGCTCTCTGTACAAGAAATACAAACTTCCCGATGTATTTAAACAAGCATATTACGGGCAAAAAAAATAAATGCGTGAATAATTTATTATGTATTTATTTCGTAGGCAGCACCAGTTGCCAAGATGAGCTCCCAATTCCTAAGTTGTTTCCAGGAAATTTAGAAGTAGAAAGCGGGGTTACGTAGGCTACATCGTGATGTTCTTCTGCTAACGTTAGACTATATCACTTGACGATTAATTTGAATATTTGGATGAGCACCTACATTGGCAGATTGAGCCTCAAATCAGGATGAATACATGACTTACGATTATAATACGGCTCATTATCTTGAAGCATCACTGACGTCAAGCTGTGCTCAACTTAAGTGCTGATAATTTAGCTACAGAAGTGTTATATGTGAAGTCCTTCTCTAAGTCTCTTCAGCGCATTATACAAGGGCCGGGCCATGATAACCAGAGTATTTTTATTCTTAGATTCAAACTGAGTAAGAAACAAATAATCTTCATATATATTATCATTCGATTGAGCGGTTGAGTAAAATCGATTACATAAGATAAGAAAAATATGAAAAGTTAGTCACACAAATTGTCTTCTCAGAAATCTACTCTTGGGTGGCGTCCTGGTTCCATCCGTGCGAGCACTCCACTTATGACGCCACTTCCCTCCTGACGTCACTGAGATTAAACTGTGAGAGGATCGTCGCAAATGACGAGGCACCTTTTGTTTCTTTCTCTGTGGATAAAAAAACATGAATGAGGCAGCGTGGTAAACTAGAAGCGTTTGGGCATGATTGAAATAGCTTAGTGAACCTGCAGCTCAAATAAAAATTAGGGTGTTGCATCGATAATTATAGGTGGCGATGGTAGATTGTAGGTGGCGTAACGGTGGGTGGCCACATCTGACAAAAATCGACAGTAAAACACTAATAAGTCGAAAGGGCGGCAAGTATAGGTGGCGGTCATGAATCATCGATAGTCTGAATACTCGATGGTGTATCGCAGGCAAATCCCTTTTGCTACTGTAATTTATCCAGCCTAGACAGGAGTTATTTTGTTGCTCATGACGAAACCATGACTTCGTTGTGTGTTTGGCTTGTACGATTTTGCTTCAAGTAGATTTAGCGAAAATATAGGCTGATTTCCGTAGGTACGTGTAAAACTGGCAGACTGAAGCTAAGAGTTCATGAATTTTTCAAGGTAGAGTGAAGCCCACTGTAAGATATCAGACTGCTCTTGATGAATTATCCGAGAAAAAATGAAAAATTTTGTTGAAAAAATACAGTTTTTCAAAAGATGGCGAATCCAAATTTTCATGTTCACCCGCTATTTTGTGTATATTTGTTGCGAATTTTGCTTGTGCGCTAATTTACTGCATTTGAAATATTGTCATCAATTGAGACCAATTTATTGTATCAATAAGTATGAATTGTATGTTCGATTAAGTGTGTTCCATAATATTCATAAGTTTCAATTTATCATGGAGGCGGGGCATCCCTAAGCGCAATGAGCGAGTCATTGAGTAAATATATACACGTTTATACCTGTTGGGATTAGGGCGCGTCGGCATTGAGCGTTGTTCTTAATAATCTTTACCTTGTCTTGCATTAAATGTTTGCTTTCCAGGTAATTTGTTTGTCAAAAAAGTATCATCTTTACGCAAAGAGGTACGAGTGTCAATTCGGTTTTCTATCGCTGACTTCGATAGTGAAATTTAATTATTAATGGGAAATTTGATTTTACTATCCGATAATTATTTTGAGTTCAAGTCTACATTTCTTACAAAGTGGTCTTGGTAGCTGTACTACGCAAAATATTATAGATTAGGTTGAAAAAAATATTGATTGATCCGAAGTGGTGAAGATATTTCACGCCTAACATTTCAAAATCATCGAGCGATATCAATTTATTTTTTCAATAGTATAGGCAAAAGTAGTTCGAATCGAACTACTGTCACAATTGGTGTTATGTTCATATTATGAAACTTCGATACTTATCAACCATTTTCCCGTAACCTTTACTCAAAGCTGAACGAAGTCTCTTTCAGCGGCTGTTAAATACTCGAATATAGCAGCATGTTAAATTAAAATGGTTATAACTATCTAATCATCGCGGTGGTAGCATTAACTTTTGTCATTTGATGAAAATAATACATGCAAACTTTTATTTAAGTCTCTTAAATTGACTCAAGTGCCAAGTTCTCTCTGATGACTAAACGGCAAATCAAGGCTTGACTTTCGCACGAGGAAGCTCAGAGTTCGAATCCTGCAGGCCGGGAATTTTCTTCAAATCGATTCCTTGCGAGGTATGTGTCTGGCACTGATAAATTGTTCCTGCTACATGTCTGACATTGCTACTTGTACTGCCATGGTGGATGTGTATACGTATTCGTATACGGTGGATGTGTATACATTCGTATACGGATGTGTATACGAATGTGTGATCGTATGAAGCAATATTAGTAAATGCAAATGCATTTCAAACCGAAGAAAGAATTTTTGTCGACTACATTTTAAAGGTGGCCATCGGTGGATCATCGCTGCACCACCGGTGACAATGGATAGTTTTTAGTGGAAGGTGACTTTTTTGGGTAGGGTGGCCATTAGACTGTTATAGGTGGAACATAGGAGTGTCAAGCTATCGAAGCCGCATCGATGCGCTATCGATGCTCCACATGTAATTTCCCCTTATAGCCACCTATATTAATCGATGCTCAACCAATAATTATTGTTTGGGAGGGTAAGGACATGATTGAGGCAGCGTGGTGAATCGGCAGAGTAAAGACATGATTGTGGCTGCGTGACGAACTGTCAGACAAATGGCCTGGTAAATCATTAGAGCATGCTTCTCATTGTCCCAATGTTTAATAATAATAAAAACCATGATTAAAATAACCTCTATGACCTCTAAATGAATATTGATTCGCTTATGATGCCAAGCATTCAATTCATCCTCGTTGGTGACATCTGTGAAAGCTCGATTATAAACAATAAATCGTCTCAAGCAGCGAACCCTACCACACGAAACGCTTACTGACGTTCAACCAACTCAATACCATCATACTCCACAACTGCCAGATGCCACTCACACCCACGACAACCCAACTCACGTTCACCAAACTCGGCATCATTCCCCACAACTGCCTCCCCCTCACATCCTCACCCCTCGCAGCGTGTGGTCCCCGCGTGGTTGGTCCTGATGCCTTCCTCCTGCAGCAGCGCCAGCAGCCGCTGCTCCTCCTCCTCGCTCAGCTCCGGCCGATACAGGGCAATGTCGGCGTAACTGCCACATGATATAATATAATAATAATAAATATTAGTTGCACGGCCATTACGATGAATGTTACGTAAGAAGGTCGAATCAACAAAAATTCACAATGGAAATTGTGATAGCGGTTAGATTGCCATTGATTGTTCCTTAATTAGTCAATTTAACTGAGAAGTATATGATATAAAAGGCGAGCGAAAAACTTGTCCGTCGATACAGTTCGTAAGAATGATCAAATTTCACAACCCCAGCTTGAGTTTACCATTGATTTGTGTTCCTTCGTTTTAGTGCACGGTTTTTTTATCATTATTATGAAATCTCTTCAAATGGCACGGTTAGTCACATCAAAAACTGCGGCCATTGATCAGAACATTTATAATATAAAAATTTTAGGAACTACCGATCTACATGTTATTTACCTAAAATTAAAGCTGTAATAATAAGGAATATATATCTCATGAAAAAGTACACGGTACACCATGACAGACTTAACTGGGACATAGAAATGCATACTGCATGCCTTCATTTTCATAGCCACCTATGCTACTGACCACTTGCTAGGAGGAGCATAAGCAAGCACTGTCTGGGCCACCGCCTCCCAGCTCCCAGCCTGAGCCCTAAGTACCGTGAGATGGGGAGAAGGCCGTTCTGGTAGCGACACAGCTGTCGCCGTGCTGCTAAGTACCGGAACATAAATACCTGTGCGGAAAATAAGATAGGAAAATTTGAGGATCCACCCTAGGCTCTCAGCAGACTTATCACTCCCTTCACCATTTGAATAATGAAAAGTCACTCATACAGTGTCATGCAATATAATACGAAGAATCTGATAACACAAAATAAAAATGTAATGCAGCAAATTACCTACATTGAACTGAAACTGATATTATTCTCACGGAAAATACTCACGAAGGTATCGGCATTTGCTGGGCAGTGGGCTGAGGTCCAACGGGTCCTCGAGCCTGATGTACAGAGATGGTGCATCAGCCGCTGTTTCCGCAAGAGCTTTTATCCCAGCAAATGTTTTGATGCTGCCTTTGAAAAATTTAATCATCGGCCTGTAGGAGGTGGAAAATATTATAAATAAATTCCAAATAAATCAACTTGAACTCATTTTTAAGCTCATCTGAACTATTCAAGAACTATCAGAATACTTAAAACCTGAATAAATCGGGTCGCATGATGTGGAAATGCAGTGCAAAAACTCTGCTGGGCTCTAATTGCATTTCTTATCCAAGCTACAGAAAGCAATAGAAAAGACCTAACTGATCAGGTAATTTGAATCCTTCATGATGACTAAAAATTGACCAAAGGCAATTGTAATATGGATGTTGCTTCAATAATTATGAAGTTTGTACGAAGAAAACACTTTCATCCATATTTGCAGTTCATGCCTCCTGTAACCATCAATATTAATTAATATTATGACTAATACCTACTACATAAACGGTTCCAATTATATAGTCCGTCTCGAGTGACTACACCAGAAATCCGTTAACAGAGAGAACCTCATAAGTCCGTTCACAGGGACTACCTTCAGAAGTATCTCTACAGGGACTACCCCAGAAGTCCCTTTGGAGGAACTATTCCAAAAGTCCATACTGTAAAAGGACTACCTCAGAAGTCCTTTTACAGGTATTACCCCAAGAAATGCAGTTGCAGTAACTACATCAAGAAGTCCGTTCACAGGGGCTACCAACCAGAAGTCCCTTTAAAGGGACTATACCCAGAAGTTCGCAGCGAGGAGATAGTAGCTCCAGAAATAATGGACTCGAAAAGGTGTACTAGGGTCCGGTGAAAACTCTTTTTAGAAATTTGTTGACCGGTCGTGATTTGTTTCAAGTTGAACCTACCAAATTTATCCCTTTAGATATACAGCATGTATTGCAAAATATACTTAAATAATTGTATAGTTCAAGACACAGCTCTGACATAAGATTATGTCAGAGCTGTCAAAAAGTTTGACAAATGTCCAAGAAAGTGGTACAACTGCAAAATCACTGGAAATGAATAGATATATGGCACAATATGTTTATATATACGCCATATGATGCTTACAAATGTGTCATTTGATAACTACATTTGTGCCATATGATGTTTCAATTTGTTCCATATGATGCTTATATCTGCGCCTAATATTGCTTATGCATGTACCATATAATGCTTATACATGTGCCATACGCTGACTAAATTTGTGCTCCATCATGCTAATATTTGGGCCACATAATTAATAATCATTCATTGATATCCGACTTAACGGATTAATAACTTGAAAATCAGAATAATCGTTCAAAACTTTAATATTAAATCATAAATCGCGGAAAATACTACGTCTTACGTATTATTTGAAGAACCTCTGGAAATATTTTACGTAAAATACGCTGGAAATGAATTTATTTGGCAGATGGCGACATGAAAAACTTAGCTATGGGGAAACACTACCGTAAAAAATGTTCTTTCCGTTATTTGAGTTGTAGCGTCAAGACCATGATTAAAAATCAGGTAATGCAACTCGAGACCATTTCTAGCTCTCAAAAAATTTCATGTGGGTAGACAACAGGCCAAATGCTGCCTTCTCTGCAACTACAGGGTTTAAATGCGGCTAGGTCGATGAGTCACCTTCGACCGAGCAGAGACTCGAGCACGTCATCGCAAGGTTGGAATTCACTCCTACAGTCGTCCACAAGATCAAGGTGCATGTCTCCCTTGTGATGTTGGACAATCTTTTGCCACCCGGCTGTCCTAAGTTCTTGCGGTAACGTCACCACTTCCAAGGGGGCGTCTGGAGCGTAGGGAAGCATCAATCCCACAGCATCTACGTCACGACCTGCAAACGACGGGCTAATATTATTACTTAATCTATATTGCATAATCTATATAACTTTGCATCAGCTCACTGAACGTAGAACAATTTTCCACTAAATGTTTACTTTAAAGGTGGGTGACAAGGAACCGCAGCTCGCACACGAGCAAGCCGTCCCCTTCCAACGGAGGCTACTTCGCTGAACACTTAGACGATAATATGGTTTAGAGCGGATTGTATACTCATCAACTCTTAAGAACCGGTGATTCATCCGGCATTTTCTTGTAGCCATTCACTTCTACTGAAATGTTCATACGAAAAATGAATGAACGCATTACCAAATACTTTCCTATTCTGTTCGGTATTTCATTTATTGATCAGTATTACTGTTTTCCAAGATCTACGTTATTTTTTCAACAATCTGTGACTTCTAAAGTTCAATGTGACCATTGTCTAAAATTTTGATGCACCGGCTTCATCTATAAATTTAAAGCACCGCAGTCGCAACACCACTATATTCTAAACAGATCTCTTGGAAAAAAGATTGTACGTTAAGACGTTAGCAAGCTCCTATTGCTGATATGTTATCGTATGAAGACGGTAAAAAAATGGGACACTGCCTTGCACAGCAAATTAAACTCTTGAATAAGCCCTGGAGAAATGGCATAGCCTCAGCATGCAATAACTACACTCGGCTTTAAATCTAAAAGCTGCCGACTACGCAAAAAGACCAGTAACACACTAATCAAATATAATAGCGCTATAGATTTTCAACCAATACATTAGCATGCTCGCCCGTAAGCAGAAAGCAGTTCTGTATCCGGGCTCACCTACCCCAGGTCTAGCCTTTTCTAGCCTAAACTATACACGCAATCATAACTCGCACTACCCTGGCTATCAATGACTGGCTCAATCTGCTCACTTTGCCCCCTTCCTATCTTCCAGCAGCCAATGAGGTTAGGTTGGGTCTACTCAGATTTTTTTTTGGTAAGAAGTGTTGCAACGCGAGCAGGTTAGGCCGGAGTAGGCTAGGCCAGATACAGGATGACCGTGATTAACTGAGACTTAGAGCATGCCTAATGAGTGGAAGTGACGCAAAGGCTCGTAACATTCCACTCCATAGGCAGCCATGACGACCTCTATAGGAGACTACCCGCTGTAGAGGAAATATAAACCTAAGTGCGAAGTTAGGTAAAGCTAGTTTGTCAAGTGAGCCACATTAAAAACAGTAAAACGGGCAATAATGGAAATATATAAAAGATATTCAGAACATTTATCCACACCCATTATATAAGTTGAATGGAGTTAAAAAATTTGTTCGAATTGTTAAACACTCGGTACTGAGGAAAGAAGTAGCCCGCTAAAGGGTATAATAAGTGAGCGTCTTAAGAAATCGCTGAGAAAAGAATCTGCCTAAGGTCATTTGGATTAGGAAGCTGTAATCTTCACACTTATCTAGAATTCGGAATCCTAGAGACAAAGGTAACAGTGAACTGCTTGCTTGGCAGAACAAGTAAATTTGAGTCTTTTTTCACGTTCCGTCTGTTATGGCTTCAGCCGTTTTCGCACGTGGCCGGCTACCAGTGACTACTAGGTCACATCCACCATTTTACTCGCCCTTATACTTCTGCGGTATAATTCATACATCTATTCGTGATCTAAAGAGAAGAAGAGATCACTGAAAACGCATGCATGCAAGTATCTTACTGCTCGTTATCTTGAACTTCTTGTCTTCCTTGAGACTGCGTTGGGCAGCTTCGAAAGCAAGCATTGCTTCCAGAGGGCGGCACAGCATCGCCTCCCGCCAGTCCCGCGCGGTGGCCTGCGCGTCTTGCATCGAGCGTACCAGTCCTGGCCACTGAGCCTCAAAATCCTCAGCGCTACTGGACTGCAGCTGAGCAAGAATTCGGCTCACGGCCTCCGCCGCCCTGCAACAAAATATTTTCAACCTAGCATTACTAAAATGTTTGCAACTTGAATTTCCAAGCTTTGAGCAGCAAATTACTATAAAATGCTCACAATTTGAAAATACCAAACTTTCATGATGATGACTTGTAATGAATTCTCTTGTTACTTAGCGCAGTCATTATATCTGCGAATTCATTTTATCAGGACCGAAGGGTTTTTTTTCATCATACGCACTCGACCTATTTGAGTGAACATGGGTGACTTAGTAAACTCCTGGTGAATTCACTAGGCCTTACCTGGTGAATTCAGTCGGTGTCTCACCTGGTGAAGTCAGGGAGATCGTCTGTCACATGAAGCCACACGTGGCGGCCTCTGAATAGAAGCAATCCATTTTTTATTGATTGAATAATGAATTTCGATAGTTATTATCCAATGAATTGTATTTTAATTTTATTAACTACATTGATAGACAGTTTAAATAATTTAGCATGCGACAGTTGCACTTGAACATGCACATTGAACACGTCAATGATTATTGAAGATATAAATAAATTATTTCATGTTACGAAATATGAATGATACATAATAAACTTAAACTTATTTGTAACTTATTCAACAACACATACCCTGAAAATAACAAAACATACAACATTAAGATTGGATTTAATTATGGATTGCAAATTGAGGATTCACTGAATTGCGACTCGTAAGAATGACGTATTAACTAATTATTAGTTAAATTAACAATGAAATTAATTGAATTATTTCATAATAGCCGCTTATACGTGTTTTTTACACTAGTAGGCTTCATGGTTCGTATGTTCTACACTAATATGTCTGGTGAGACCTGCGGCTGTGGCTTGAAGTACTCACCACGTCTCATGGCACGTATTTACATCATTAAAATGTTGCGCGGCGCCAGTATCAAGAGAGTGCACTGGCCGAATGTTTAAATATAAAAACTCACGAGTCTCTTCTGTACAGCGTCTGTCCCCGGGAGGCAGTCCTGATGCCATCGTTGTGCAAATGCCTCAACAGTTGACACAGTTCATTTTCCTTCAAGCCGCAATTGTACAGCTTTAGGGAACCCAATCTGTATACGGGAAAACATATGAGATTAAAGTCTCTTATTATAATTCCGTATCATCGGCATACTGACGAACAGTCCGACCAAGTGTAGATGTGACTCGTAGCATAAAAGTGACTCAAAAATATAATGAAATTTAGGCTTGTGGGCGGCGAGTAAATAACCTTTTATTGTAAGGAACAATTGCCCGTATGATCCGAGCGATAGCTTCACAGCTGCCCGGCTGAACCTTGTAGAGCCACAGCGTTGGAGGCGGCTGGGCTGGGAGACGCACAACGGCTGCTGCGTCCCTCCTCGTGTTAACGCCATCATCTTGCTCCTCCTCGCCCAGTGGTGGATGGGTTTGACTTATGGCATGCCAAGCGGCATCCTGAGGTCGAATACTCACCTCTGCAATCCGAAAAAAGCAATATTTACCACTAAACTCTTGCATATCGTGCATGAGCTCAAAAGGTTAACAGCATTCACTGCAAACAGTTTGTCTCATTTTGAATAAGATAGAACTTTCCCTGATCTCGGATGTTGACAACATCATCTATGATTGTTGCTGGTACTGTTGCGGGAGAGGGGATAACACATATAGGCTACCCCAACGGGATAGTGAGAAAGAATGAACAAACTATATAAATGAAAGCATTACCTTTATATTTCATGAACAATATAAATAAATGAACAAGCGGATTCATGAGCGGTACATCATTAATCGGTAGCTACCAGACCGGGAAATGTAAAGTTAAACATTTAATTCGGCTGGGTCCATCCATACGTTATCGGTGTTGTCGCCCAGAGGAAGTCCCAGTCTATCGGAGATCGACTAGGGCAAATAAATTCAAAGTGTGGGAATCTAGCGGAGGAGCGCAGTGCTTGCCGAAATTACGCCGGGACTCTTATCCAACGTTGCCAACAAGTTGCTGCTTCCTTCTACGCTGTTCCTCGAGTGGAAAGAACAGATCTTCAAAGTTACGACCAAGTCCATGCAACGTACAGCGCCGGAAGCGTTACCGTCGTCGAGACTGGTACTCTAGCTCCGATTGCCTGCAGACGCACCCGTCCATGGCCGACGAAAGAAGTAATCATAATACAAGAACTTGGTTCTTAAATGAATGGTTGACAGCAGCATCGGAGGTAGATCCAAGGTAGTTCCTTGCCAAGCACCCGACCAATTACTGCGTCCAGCAACGCCCGTCCAGCAGGCGGCTCAATCGAGAGTGAGCCAAAACAGGCTCATGTTCAATTTTAGCTTCGAGTAATGCGTAGGAATGAAAGAAGAAGAGCGAGAACGACAGTCAGAAAGTCGGGCCGCTACAGTACCAACAATGAAGGATGCTTGTTTTTCATTACCGCCTGCACTGTCCCCATATATAAGCACCATAAAGGCCCCTACCACGACTGACGCCAGAAAAACTGGCTTTTTCAGTCTAGACTGAGGCAGTCCGGCCATCGAGACGGGCTCATCGGCGAGTCAAGCACTGTTCAATCTTTTGAGCCGTTCATGCGGTAGTGTCGCTGTGACTTCCGTCCCAGCAGATTGTGTGTTGCTGTCGCTCCAATATACGCACTGAAATGTCACGTACGGCGGGGCGGAAGCCCAGATGGAACTCAGTCTCGATCCCAGCACATGCGCGTAGTCCCGTAGTTGAAACGCGCACGCCAGTTATGAGGCCCAGCCATGTGGCTTACTGGTCTCAGGCCAGTCTCAATCCTTCCAACAGTCCCGTAGAGGAAAAGGGCATATATGCAGACATTTCTGCGATATCGCGGTTCTGTCGCGTCTCTACGTCGACCCTAAAGCATGCGACTGCCGGTTCTATTCCCTGCCCTAAGTTTTAGCTGGGTAGAGAGGCTCTGCGAGTAGAAATTAAGTGGAGTAGAGAGGCACTGCAACTGGAAATAAACGGAAATGTAAGCGCGGGGCGACATCGGCGGTAATGATTGTAACCAAAAGATGTCGCTCATAACAGCCAGCGACACTTTGGTTCATTCGTTCAAGGCACATTTGAAATACAAAAAATCAAATAATAATCTAGTTAGTTTATTTAACAATTATTTATGATTTATGCGTCCTTGTAAGCTGGGTTCTCCTAAATAAGTCTTTAGTTATCGATTCGGAAACCGTGTCTTCAATTGACTAATTTTTAATGTCATTTCGAGCGTATTAATCGTTAAAAATGACTAAGAAACAATAATTGACAATGCCCACAAATTTGTGTGCAAGCCTGATGTTAAATGTTCCGTTTAAAAGGCAAATTATTCTCCGGTATCAGATAACTGCCTTGGTCTCTGCTGTTACCTTGTTGCTTATACTTGCTCACCTGGTCGATTCCGGAACAGGTGAGTAGCAGTAGCCGGAGCAGTGAACAAAACATTGCTCACCAGGTCGATTGTATGTGCTCACCTAGTCGATTGTATGTGCTCACCTATTCGATTGTATGTGCTTACCGAGTTGACTGTATCTGCCCTGCAGAGCATCTAAGTTGAGGGGAGCTGGCAGTGCGATGGTCAAGTACGTCCTTGCCGCCCGAGAAGCTGCAGCGACAGCAGCGATGCCAGCAGGAGTGCTGATTCTGCCGCTAAACCTGATGAGATCACACCTGCACTAGGCAAAACAAATATGATTTAGTTGAAACACGGGGACGCCTGTCGGAGACCACCACTGCCGTGCTTCGAATGGACTATCACGATCCCTTCCCTGAAGAACGTAGCCTACAACACATCTTGACTGTTACGTTATCAGCCGCACGCCACCAGACAGATCACATCCATTGAATTAGATCAATCAGCCCACAGGAAAATAAGCCTGGCGTCGNAAAATAAAAAATCATGTAAACCTCATAATTTTAGAGAAATTAAATAAGCGAATAATTCAATCAGTTTCTTCCGGTATAAGCCCCATATTAAGATTCATGTCTAGAATGTTCTTTCGATATTCCTCCGCCTCCCTAACCCTTCACCCCCTTCCTCTCCCTGCCAACTCAACGGCTTGAACGTTACCGCCGTCCGCCGGCATATTCGACGTAGGCCGCGGTAGAGGAGCGACCAGTTGCCTGCCGCAGCTTTTGCCGACCGAGGCCTCGCGCTATTCGTTGCAGATGAGGCCATATCGTCGCTAGACTGCTTGGACGCGAGGTAAAGTCGGCAACAACAGGCCTAGATTTGCGCGTTTGCGAACGTCTCTGCGGCGAACGGCCGCAATGACTGCGAGAATTTCGAACTGGGTATGCTTTCTGAAACCTAACCCCGGATGTTGAGCTAAAAGTGACGGTCTGGTGGTGCACGGCAGGATGCATGCAGTTCCACTGGCGACTTGGGCTGGTTGGTCGCAGTCCGTTGTCCGCAAGTTACAGTTCGAGCTGAAGTCAGGGTATGAAGTGATGATTCGATGAAACGTTCATTGGTGCATAACCATTACTCTCTGGGCTATTCGCTTCAAAATGTGGTGGCGTAAAGCTCCTAACATTTAATGCAAGATGATGTCATGGGCTGGTTACCGACGGATGGCTTAATCCACGAATGATTGGTGGTCATCCGGAAAAATGCTAGACGTTCCTTTCCAGGCTGATTGGTGCACAAATTTAGTGGTGCACGGCTGCGTACCCGAAACACGCATGAGGCAACATCAGCAAGAGTTGACACATGAATGCGGCAACTCTAGTAAGAGCTAGTTGACGCCTTCGTGAGGCGACATCGGTAAGAGTTAGTTAACACCTGAACGTGCTAACACCAGAAAGAGTTTATAGTTGAGGCCTGCATGTGGCGACCCCACTAGAGTTGAACAGATGGTGAAAAGCAATTTTTTAAGGGTTATCCCCGCCCTCCTTAGAGCATTAAAAGAATAAATTCTTTTTCAACAGGATTCTACTTCAAATTAGTTTCTCTGCTTATTTTTCACTCTTCAGTAGGGTAAAATGGGGCAGCGAGCCCACTGCGGGTCATGGGCCCATAGCGGGTTTCTCGTAAGAATGACAGATATTGGTCCGTGTTCTTTACCGCCGGTCGACAGTTTCACTGGGATGAAGTGTACGGATTTACGTTTTGCTAAGTGTTTGCGTTATTAAGTTATTTGTGAATAACTGTTTTAGCCCAGATAAAAATTTTTATGCTGCTAAATAAAACTTTTTACGATTACTGTAGATGAAGCTTTTGAAATTACTGTGAATCATATTTTGAAAGTAATATTTATAGGGATAATTTTGAGATCAAGTTTAGACTATTAGCTTTTAAAATAAAATGTTGACACGATATAAATTGAAATGATACCTAGTGGGGCAACGGGCCCACGCGTGTCACGGGGCAAAGCGCCCATGGTGAAGTCTTGTGTTGTCAAAAACCTTTTCAAAACTATGACTAGCTTTTTGAATTAAAAATCACACTTTTTATTGCATGATTTTTTGATTTGCCGCCTCAAGGCAGAAGGTTTAGTTTCTAGTTATGCGTATTTATGACCCTTTATCGAGTTATTGACTCTTGCCTTGCCAAAAGTTGATTTAAGTCAACACCAATGAGCCAAAAGTTGATGAATTTTTATGGTGTTAGCTGAAATCACGATTAGGTACAAATTCTCTGCACATAATATCTGGATTATGAACGAAATTGGAACGAAGTTTTTTTTCTGATCAACTAGATATATTTTTTCTAGTCAAGGATACATTTTTTTCATGTCAAGGACGAATTTTTTATCGCAAGGATATATTTTTCAAGTCAAGGATATATATTTTTATGTCAATGAAATATTTTTCTTCACGTCAGTGATAGATTTTTTAAGCCAAGAGTATATTTTTTTGAAATTAAGGATATGATTTTTTGAGTTGTTAACAAATGAATGAATGTCCTATTTTTTATTACATTTTTCCGATTTTTAATTGTAAAGTGTTGTTTTATCATTTTTAAACGAAAAATATGCAATTGTGGTAAAGGGACCAAGGGTGGGCGCCTTGCCCCAGGGGTGGGGCAATGGGCCCATTTTGACACTTTTTACAAAATAGTGTTTCATTAAAAATAGTATAACTCTTTAGGAGTCTAATTCACATCATACATTTCTCATTAGTTGTACCTTTAAACAAAAGAAAGAACCACCTAGTATCAATTAAAACTTCATCAAAAATTTAGTTAAAAAAGGGGGGGGGGGCGCTGCCCCATGTTGCCCTACTTTTAGGACAATACATTGCTGTCACAGTTCAATATTAGATTAAATTCACGGTATAGATTCGATAAATTTAAAATTTTCAGTAGGAATATAACGAATATGAGTATACCAAGATAATGTTCTAAAAATCTCAAATAAGGCTCGGAAAATAATTCATCCGTACATTCAATCGACATATGCAAAAAATTATACAACTAGTCGACACATTCGAGTGGGATCAGTCATGTTTGCTATCGCATGTCTTCAAATAAATATATTTTTTAAACTGTAACATTTTTTAAACTTTTTAAATTTTTTAGGACTTCCATTTATCTATAAATTTAGAGGCGCGAATGACTTCTTCACATTTCATCAATTAATCAGTAATTTAACATGTATTAACAATTATACATATATAGAAAATATGCATGGTTAGGTAGAAGTCGTTCGTTTAGGCAGTTTTATTAAATATCTAAGAACGCTTTTCCTTAATACTTTTCTTCTCAGTGAGCCGAACGATGCTCTTTGCCAACGATGGCAGATCGAAAACCAATTAAGTAACCAAAAGACATTTTATTAAGACGTTTCGTATATTCATTATTCGTTTTCACGCGAATGAAAGTTTTGCACCGCAAAAATTTGAAATTTTGTAGTACGAACAAGGGGGATCATAGATACCGTTAGCAATATAAACTTAAAAATATTTAAGAAATAATTTCAACGTCCTCATGATTTCGCTGCTTTGTAGGTTGATAGCTGAGGACTCACTCTTGATAATGAGGGCGTCAGCTGTCGCCAGTCTTGTGGGTGGTTAACTTATATTTAATAACTGGACAATAATAATATTACAACCGGAGTGAATAATAGAGTCATAAATTAATACAAGAAGAATATCAGAAGCCTATTTACATTTATAAACCGTTAGAGTGATTGGCGTAAGTTGTGATAACATTTACAACAAAGAAAGGTTACGAGCATATGAATCATTATGATGAGTCAGCTTAATGAGGCCGTGGCTCTACTGACGTGATTTTAACTACTCTAGCCCCTAGGCTGAGTCGGCGTAAAAATATGACAAAATTCTTATCAATCTATTTTTAACAAGAGAATGAATATACCATGGCATGATATACGAGGAACAATTGCATATTTTAATACTTTGATGAACTACTCCCTCAGTGAATTTATTAATTAACACAACACGTAAGAAGGTACTCGGCGGGACTTTGTTGTAGCGCGGCAGAAGTGAAATAGGCCCTCATGTAGGCTAAGAACCTTAACGATGTTGCCAGAGAGATCTAGATGAAATTTGCGCTCGCACAAGATTAGAACGATCGTGAATTACATACAGAGCCATTCACGCAAACTTCCTGATTTGAAAGCTCTATAAGAAAAGAACTAGTATAGATATAATTACAATATATATATTTATGAAAAAGACATTACTTGACAGCGGCAGGCGAGTGGCTCTTGATAGCGACAGGCGAGTGGCTCTTGACAGCGACAGGCAAGTAATTTATGAGGTTTGTGGTTACCTCATAAACCAATGGGGATACTTTGACGCCTCCAATGTAGGATACTCGTAGCAGAAATCGTGCGTTTATCTACAGAATTTCACAGTTTTTGGTATAATAACTTCTATTTACTTCTAGAAATCTGATTTAAAAGTGAATGGTGTACCACTTAATGAAGAATAAATCTTTACACCTATGTACATCGAGACCTGACGGTAGAAAAAACACTAGCTTCACGAACAACTGGGTGCAAAATTTTCCCCTTCATAATAACAGTTGAAAGACAAATTTGCAAGCTTTATCTTAACGTACGTGGAATGAAGAAAAATAGCTGGAATAGCATTCCAAATTCGGCACTTGTATCTTATTTAGGACGGAAGTTATAGTTCAAAGAAATAGTGAATAAACTAAACCTCATATATAGGACTGGACGCGGCCTGACGGCGGTACCTCACTCAGCCTCTGAAAGATGACATCGGACAAATGGCGGCCCCCATTTTTAACCCTGTCAAAGTTTTCGTTCCAATTAAGGTCGCCCCTGTGGCATTGGATCCGGCTTAGAGGTAAATCAGGCGCAGATAGGCCACGTACGGTGCTTGGCTTCTATTTTGTATTCTTTTTCGGAAGTCAATTACCCGGCGAGCCGAATCTGCGTAATATGACTAAAAAGAGCAGCTGGTCAAGCTTCCTCATGATGCCACTGGTCAAACGCTAATGAGGCTACCGCCTGATGGGGCTGGTCAGAGCATAAACAGGGTAAATGCGCGAACCATTTACCATTTCCCGTTCTATAAATGGCGTCAATGAACTTACACGCGTCCGTTCGCTATGTGATACGTTCGCTGTGAAACATTCAATCCCGACTGCGTCCTCCCAACCGTAAAACATAGCGGGTGTTCTGAGATGATCTGGGGTGCTATTACTTGGAAATTTCGGCGGAGCAATGATTTCTCTTCATGGAGGTATCAACAGCCGTGACTATATTATATTTAGGAATTTTGCAGGATCAAGTTCATCTAATGGTTCAATAGGAAAGTTGTTTACTGTTCTTTTCCCTACTTTGGACCCGCATCTGAGACTATGTCAAAGGAATTAAAAGTTTTATTTGCCAAATATCTTCCGGATGTAAATCTTCACGTGTTGCTGGTTCTTCATTTTAGAATCGGCTCGTTTTTCAGGTATAAGGATACCCTACCTGTTCTTATGCGATCGTCACTAGTTTACAGATATAGTTGTGCGCAGTGCGCATCAGCGTACGTCGGTATGACGGCACGCAATTTCTATACTAGACTGGCTGAGCATAAGGGCAGGAGTTATAGAACAGGGAACCTACTTGCACATCCACCTCATTCTGCTGTACGTGTTCATGCCGAGCAGTGCAACACCTGTGTATCTGATAGTGATTTCAAAATTCTAGCTTCCGCATCCGGTGTTAGTGATCTACGAATTTTAGAATCCCATTATATATTCAAACAGAAGCCTAGCCTGAATGCCGCTTTTAGCTCCTTTCCTCTTGAAATAGTAAATAGATAGGCCGTCTACGTTTACTAGCATTGTTTTCATGTCTTATCTATTTATTTTTTAGTGCATTTTACTTTACTAATTGATTTATTTGTGTTTCTAGGACTGAACTTTTTCTGAACTTTTTCAAAACCTTACAGTGCATTTTACTTTACTAATTGATTTATTTGTGTTTCTAGGACTGAACTTTTTCTGAACAGAATTTTGTGTTTTGAACTGACGATGAAGCTGGACTCCGAAACGTTTTCTCTTATAAAGATATGGTGAATTTTTGTGGTATTTTTTTGCTTTTAAATTCCTGGTTAACTTGCGATTCAAGCAAACAAGTGATTTTAATGGTTCAAACTGTTTCCAGAGTGGAACGCTATCTTTCAAGATGGTAATGCTCTGATCTGCACAGATGGAATTGTTAAAAATTGGCACGAGGAACATATCAATGAAGTTCATCATCTCATTAGGCCATCACAATCACCAGACCTTATCGAGCATCTATAGTCGATTTTAAAAATGTATATCAGAAGTCAATTTGTACCGCCATTCGTCTTTAAAAGAGCTGAAAGGAGTTTTAACTGAAGAATTGGTTAGAATTATTTTAAAAATAATTCACAATTTGTAGGAATCAAACTTCGGAGGATTGAGGCGTTAATTGCCACAGGAGGTGTCTCTATACCATACTAAAACATATTTTGCGGATTTCTCAGGTGTTCCCCATATTTTGCCTAACTTCTGTATGTTTTCCCAGAATTCTTTCGCAGCTTCTGCCATCTTGTTCTCTCATTCGCATACACTCCTTCTACATTCAGCACATCCACTCTCAGCTATTTTTCCCTATTGTCACCTAATAGGAAGGCAAATCATTCGCGTCCACCTTTTCTTCATATATAATAAATTCCTTCTTTCTATTTCGCTCATAATCCACAATATGGTTTCTAATGACAATTTTTGTTCTCTTTGGTTCATACTCCAGCCATGCTTTCTGATATTCCAGGAAGCATGGGCGCGATTCCTCACCATCATGCCTCTTTTTCGGTAGTTACCTACATAATCAAATACATCTGTTTTGTTCTGCTCTTGCTACTTTCACATCATTTCAACTATATTTTTCATTATTTCTTAGGTTTTTGTAGATATTCTTGTCGGTCCTTGCGCATGCAGCCCTGGCAGCCTAATTCAGACATTTTTTAAGTTATTAATTCAAAACATTCCTGTCACTTGTAACTTTACTTTCTGTAGCAGGGAGTTACGCATTAAAATTATCCCAGTTCACGACTTTCACTCGCCACTTACATTTTTTGTTCGGTTCCCTCACATATGTATCATTCATTATCAACTACGTAACAAGCATATTATAATCACTTAGGGTACGCACACAGTGAAAGCAGGTTGCCCGAGTGCTGGTTACCTGCTCAGGCTGGCGCCTGAAACCATAGAATACAGAAAGCAGAAATTTAAATTTCTCCTGCAAGTTCCTAAATCTATGACCATTTCAAATATATTTTTAGTCAGTAATTTATCAAATTGTTGTTATATTGAAGGAGCAAATCGCTTCGATTCTCAAATTGACTTTCAACTTTTAATTCGAGCTGCCACTGGTTGATCTGAGCGTGAAAAATATACTTAGATGTTTCTTCTATCGAACTCAGTTCACCTTCATGAATACTGTCGATTATTTGAATCGCCACCCACAATTTAGTTTCAAGTTACACGATTGAGGTTACTCAACATAATGAATGAATTTTTGGAGGTAAAATTCTACTGACCTGGAGCCATTTAAGCACTCAAGGAGGTCGTCACAAAGCCCGTCTTGGTTCGGTGCGAGTTTTAGCTCCAGTTTTCCTCGGTGAGTCTGGGCCACCTTTGCCCAGCTGGAGGCCTCGGAGAGCAGCACTTCAGGTAACATCTCGATTTTGATGAGTCGTGGCTGTCTGTGTGGCATCATCAGCGCCACTGCCATAACATGGCATGCTGGTGAATGAGGTAGTATTTTACTTCTTCGAAACGATTTCGAAACTGAGTGATACCCGATCGACATAAAGAGAAGGAAATTAAGGGGGAGGTATACCCTCCAAAAAAACTTTTTTGTTCATGGACGAATCACTCTGAAACTTGGTACACTTATGTAAAACAGATTTCTAAGACATTTTTGTTCGCGTGATTTTTTCGGAAAATTGATAGAAAACGTGAAATTCATAGAAAACGGACAAAAAAGGGAGTACTGTAGAAATCTATCTCCTCCTAGGGTTTTGAAGCTACAGCGATGAGACATAAACCATTCTATTCGTAAAGACCATACCAATCGAGTAACACAGCCCGATTTTTGATTTTTGCCTTAGTTTTTTTTTACAAGCATTTTTCCATTTTTTTCTTTTTTTCTCATTTTACCCCCCCTTTCCCCCCATTTTGAATCCAAACTATGCACAAATATAAAAAAGGCTGTGTTACTCGATAGGTATGGTCTTTACAAATAGAATGGTATATGTCTCATCGCTGTAGCTTCAAAACTCTTGAAGGAGATAGGTTTTCCGTGACAAAAAGTTGAACTTTTCAGGACGGCGCGACAAAGTTCCGCGCGCCTTGAAATAGTCACTAAATGTAGCATAGCTACCAATCTACAGGCTTCTGTAGCTTAATCCACTCAAGGATGCTAGCAGCGACTTGTGGCGCACCTCTCCGTACAAAGTTAGGAGGGTAACTAAGCCCTGATGCCATATACAGCCATATATCTAGTCTTGCCGGTCTAATTTCCTTGGATCTATTACTGAAGGAACTCCCCCCCGCCCCCCATTTGAAGACCAGCCGTGTGCGTAAATTTTGACGTACATGGATCGCAGTAGTATCGTTAGAAAGCTCAGAATGTCAGCTTTAGGATGAGACTAAGCATGTGACTGCAGCACAACTCAAGTAGAAACTATATTCAAAGATTTCAGCAGCTAATTACTTTATATCTAATTAGTTAAAGAACTCTCCCACCCGCTTCCCTTTAAAGAGACGTCATGAACGTAAATATTTACGTACAGAGATGGCAGTGGTACCATTGGAAAGAGCAGAATTTCAGCTTTAAGATGAGATTTTAAAAAATGCCAAATCTGAAAATTTTAGGGTATACCTCCCCCCTTAAAGCTTTCAACCTAAGAATGGGCCTAATGCGTGATGTGTAAAGCGATATGTCACAACAGTAACATATCGGCCAAAGTATGTGGCCAGAATTTTAGTGCGAAATAACATTGTCTGACTGATTTTACGAGCCTTGCTAAGATAACGCGAGCAAAAACGCCTGATGATGTAGCGGGGCAGCCTTGCCCACGCCTTAAACACTGAGTCTTCTTCCGCCGCCGCACCTCTCTGACCTAGACTGAAGTGAAAATGTGTGCGCAGCTAGTATACTCGGGAAGCAGCCGATTGCGAGTAGGCAGCCTACTTTTGCCGGAATAATCACACTTTATATTGTCTCTAAACTTCAATAGGTCCGACGTCAATGAGCTTTTGTCAACTTATTTGCATTTAGTTGATAGTTTTGTGCCGTGGCTGCAGATTCTCTACTATATTAAAATATAATTTGTGGCCTTTGAAAATGCTCTGTTCTGTTTTTAGTAATCATCGTATGATAGGTCCCGCACGGAGAGACCTAGTGCCGTCGTTATATGGGGTCGCCTGCCGAAGACCACCACTGCCCTGTATGTAATGGACCATCATGATTCCTGCCTTCCGGAACGTAGCCTCCAACACTTTTGGACAATCATATCTATTCCGTGCGTCGAACCAGCCCTCGGTCGAACGGCCACTCGCCGAAGGACGATAAATTTTGGAACAGAACTATGCTATCTGAAACCTAACCTCAGATGCGGTGAACTTAAAATTACGTAATTTAACGATGCCCGGAAGTCCGCGGGCTATTGATGAACGGCAGGTTTTATGTAAGGCCGTTGGAGGACAAAGCCTAGTGGTTCACGGCTGATTGGCGGAGATCCGGAGAGATCCAAGGCGTTCGAATCAGTGCTTATTGGTGCACAAAATTGGTGGTGCACGGCTGCGCGCCCGTTATATGGAGCGTACCTGCACCGCTAAAATGTCACTTAGCGCCGGCAATGTCTCTGCCGCCACTTGGATGACACTTGAAAGTCACCTCAAGACTGGCTCCATCAAGCGCTTTTGTGTCTACACTGATCCCGTCGCTTGAAACCCTGCATGCTTGCCAACGTTTTAAGATCAATCGTAACCTCTCTAACGTCTAATTATTCTCATCAGTACGTAACGTAATGAGCGTTAGTAGAAACTCTAACCTACGATTTTCAATCACGACTTAATCAAGAACTGTTGCGTCGGGTGAATGCGAGATAAAACGGCACATCTCCTGAATGTCAGACACAATTCTCACTGCCCTTCAACATTTCGGCGACCATAATCTTAGTCAAGAGCTACATCAGTTCGTTTACATACCAATTTTCAATTGAATTTGGATACGGGCAGAATCCCGCAACGAGGACCGCCTAAGACTTGTGGGCAAGTAAATCCGCGGCCGCCGTCCTATATCCGCTTTGGCCAGGCTTGAAAAGCAGCCTTCTGAGCACATTGAAATCTCGACATGATTCGTCTTTGACCAAACCTTGTCATACTTTCAGGAAACTATAAGTTCGGAGTGGATATTCTGACCAGGAGTTCATTTCGTTCAGTTGGTACATCAGATCCATAAGCCGAGTGAAGCGATCTCAGGGTACAAGTTTTTTATTTAGGTGATGAAAATAATCAATTCAATTATGAATATAACTCACCATCGCGAACTTCCCATTCTTCGGTTTCTTCGATTGTGATCTGTGCTGCGTGCTTTGCCAGCTCGATGACGTCAGGACTTCGCAACAACAAATTTTGCCAGTCGGCGCTGCTGGCGACGCCTGCGTCGGTGAAGGCGTCTCTTAGTTCGGGCCAACGTCCATGGAATTGCGCTGGATTGCTACTGCTGTGCAAGTCTTGCAGGACGTACAGAAGAACTTCCTGCAGCCTGGGATGAGAAAAATATAATGCAGAGCACGAAATATTAGCAGCCTCGTGAATTTTAAATGCAGATAGCTAGCATCTATGTTCAACAGGGTGATTCAGTGAGGCATGATGAATTCCGTGCGGCTCCATGATTAGGACAACGCAGTAAAACGAGTTTATTTGCGGGGATGGTCATTATCCCGTTGCTCAACAACCATAATAATGTTCCTAGAAAAAGGACAGTTTTCAGATGGCTGATGAATTGCCAGAGGTCGACCAGAGCCTATTATCAATAGCCGATTACTGGACATCCCCTTACCCTTGCACACGCTCGCCCCGTGAATCAGTCCTGAGACAGCTGAGGTTTTTAGACAGGTTGTCAACAAATCCATCAGAATAAGGCCGTTCAAAGAAATTTTAGTCTAAGAGAGTCCCATTTCAAATGCGATAAGTATTGACAAACTTTTTAGATTTAACTTTTTGTTATCGAAAAATCGAAGCAAAAAGCACATCGAGTAGCATGAAAAATATTCATACGTACGTACATCTCATACAAGAGTATAAATACATGGTCCAAACTTTCAGAAAAAAGCTCATAGGTATCAGAGCAGTAAGGCTCGGTAATCAAGGCTGTGAACCACACTCTTAATGAAAAAAAATGATGCTGGGAATCTATAAGCAGATAAATTATACAATACACCCAGCTAATAGAAGGTGTTCACGCTTACTGTTCGAAATTGCACTGCATTGTCGGCATTCGATCAGCCGTACTCAAACAGGATTTCTCCCCCGAACGAAGACCTGGAGCAGCGGCAGCAGTTCTGCGGTGAGGGAATGAATTTAAAAGATAATCACGCTTCGCTTCACGAGTAATTTATACTTGTCTACAGGAGTGCATTACAGAACTAAGATTAACGGACTATTCAGTCATGCGCTCGACAAACTCGCTAGCTGACCCGTACCTCCTGTTTGAAGGAGGCTTTGCTCACATGATATCTAGCAGAAAAACGTCGGAGGCTTGCAAGTGTGTTGAAACGTAGGACGCTGCCAGTCTTTCCTGGACTGACTTGTGCACAAAGGAGTATGACACGGAAGCCTTCCCAGCTAGCGATTTTTTCACCCTTAGCATGGCGTTGAGGAACACTGCTGCATCAACCTCCTTGTCGGCTTCATAATACTAGATTTTTTCGTAGCATTGACGCTTCAAACGCAGAAGCTCGTTTTCTGTGAATGTGATCTTGTTCCAGGACAGGAACTCAAGAGCGCACCGGCCAACAATCATGAACAGGTCATCAATCAGTATATCTTTGTTGGCGACAGCGATATCGCTCAGCTTCGCTGTCACGACGGCCTTGTATAGCTGCACTGTGTCCTTTGCCACGTCATTGGCGATCTTCCAATGGCTGATCTTACCGGGAGAGTCCTTGAAAATGGAGCAGAAATTCAGCAGTGTTATAGGCTCAGTAAAGAATTTGCGTAACTGCGAGTCAAGTTTAGTAAATCGTTCTTGCATGGCCACAGAGTCATTATTCAGACTTTGTGCGTACCTCTCAATAAACTTTAACTGCTCCTGCAGCTTAGATATAGGAGCAATCGTATAGTTTGAAAATTTGCAGTTATTTTGGGATAAAAAAATTTTCAGATCCTTGACTGCGTGAGGACGCGTCGTGATGAGAATGCGTGATTCAGAATGCCAGGCTTTCTTCAACAGCTCACGCAAAACTGCCATCGATCCTTCGTTGCGCTCGTCAAAGCCATCGACCAGAAACAGAACGTGGATCTCCAAAAGAGCTTGCAAAACCCTTCCCTCTCCTAATTTAATACACACTTCCTTAAAAAACTCCTGAATGACTTGCTGCAGATTTTTGATTGTTCTGTCCCTGCACTCTACGAAGACTAAGATATCAAAGCCTTGTAGGTAACCCGGGAGGTTAGGTTGTAATTCTGAGAACTGTTGGGTTATGTTCATGAGTAGTGTAGTTTTTCCAGCTCCTGCAACGCCCGAAACGATCGTGATTTTCTCTTCAGACGAATAAAATATGTCCTGAAAAGGAAGTATGTTGTTTACATCGTCTTGCAGCATTACTTCGAGGGGATGAAACACTTCGGATCTTTTAACTTGACCAACCTCAAGGGGCAATTCTTCTTCTATGTACTTTCTAAACCCGAAATTTGCAGTCTCTTTCCCATCTGTCATGACGCAGTAGACGGCATAAGCCAACTCTCTCCCTCCAGGAGAAGGTCCCGTGCTTATATCAACTCGCAGCTCTTTTTCCATGGAGTTTATCTCACTTTGAGAGGACAAATAAAACTGCTTTGCTTCTGTTAACAGCTCGAACAATTTAATTTCAATTTCTTCATATTTCTTTGGATTTTTCATGGACTCAGCAACATGCATAAGATCATTTCTAATGCATGTGATTTCCTTCAATTTCTCTAACAGTTTCTCAGAGTTTCTCCAGTCATCCTTGATCTCAAATAAAATTTGGAATAATTGGTTCAACGCAGTCACATCAAACTTGTCGGAAGTCGTCTCAGTTTCGAAATTATAACCGCGAAGCTTTTTCCATTCCTTTTGGCTGAAAGGGCCGCCTTGACATTTCTCTAGATAAGTTTTATAGCTATCTGAGCTATGTTTATCCCAACACTCCAGAGCAAGAAGCTTGCGGATATACTTCGGGCATAGCGTCATAATTGCATCATAGACTTTATGAATGGTCTCCATTTCCTTAAATAAAGTTGTCTCAGCCGGGGCCAGCGCCATCCTGAATTAGGCTTCTGCCCAGGAAATGTAGGTTGCGTATAAGAAATTGTACATTAATCTTGCCTCCTTTTTGCAGAACCGAACTATTAAAAATTTAAATTGTTCATGCTTCTTGCCGAATTAAAATATAAATAGCTTTTTTGCACCACCTTAAAATTAGAGATAATTGTTGACAGTGATCGACCGCCGAGGGCGAAAGCCCAAGCCCAAGTATTTTTCTGATAATTTCCACTTTTAAATAGCATTTTCATCCCCTTCTTCATGCTTATTCACTACGTTCAGATTAAATTCCCGGTCAATTAAACTCCTCAATAATATTATTTATTGCATGCTTATTGCTTATATTAATTCTTTAAACTAAAAATTTGGGGCTAATTTAGCATTACTAACTACATTATTGATTTACTCTTTGAACATTATCTTTGGGCTATTGGCCTCTTAAGTGGACCAATCGCTTGGAGTAATATTTAGAATTCAATTAGGTAATTTAATTTATAAATTACAATTGTCTAAAGATTTCCGCCTAATCATAGTTTCTGTATATTCCGTCAGCAAGTTTTAAAATTTACCCATTGTCTGCAATTGAACATCTAGGCCACGTGGCATTAATTTCCGTACGAACAACAGAGTGCGCAGCCGTCGGCCACAAATTTAACTCTCAAACAAGCCTTGTAGCAAACACTATGTACAAAAATGCTCAGACAAACTGGAAAGTGTTGAGGAAGACGCTTGCTGGTGGGGGGAACATGCCGCGAAGACCATAATGGCTGGAGCAGTGGCTGCTGGGCTATGCACCTATGGCTCCTAAGTCCAAAAACTAAAGTTGAAAAACTAATCTACTCAGTAGGATGCTAGCTTGCGCACGGGAAGAAGTGAGAGTGAAGACAGGATTGAGCAATGATGCCCTGTAACAACCAACCCAAAACAACGTACCAGCGTTGTGGTGATCTTCGAACAAGGTTAAAATTTTATATCGTTCTTTTTTCATAGGCAATACCTGAGTAGGCAGTCGCATCGTTCATAAACTATGTCACCGGTGGCAGATGCATGATAATTACGTTCCATTTTATTCCCCCGATATTTTGAGAATAAAGTGACTGACGCCTGCAGGGAGTACGGCAAAAAAACTGACTTTCAAAACACTATAAAGTCGTCCACCCTAACGTTCAACTGTACCTAAACATCAGCCTTCATCCTCCCATTACGGCTTAGACTGCTCATTCGAGTGAAGCGGCAGCAGCACTCGAGTGAAGCAGCAGCAGCACTCGCGTGAAGCAGCAGCAGCACTCGCGTGAAGCGGCAGCAGCACTCCAGTGAAGCAGCAGCAGCACTCGCGTGAAGCAGCAGCAGCTATCAAGTGAAGCAGCAGCAGCGCTCGCGTGAAGCAGCAGCAGCACTCGAGTGAAGCAGCAGCAGCACTCGAGTGAAGCAGCAGCAGCATTCTAGTGAAGCAGCAGCAGCATTCTAGTGAAGCAGCAGCAGCACTCTAGTGAAGCAGCAGCAACACTCGAGTGAAGCAGCAGCAGCACTCGTGTGAAGCAGCAGCAGCACTCGAGTGAAGCAGCAGCAGCATTCTAGTGAAGCAGCAGCAGCACTCTAGTGAAGCAGCAGCAGCACTCGCGTGAAGCAGCAGCAGCACTCGCGTGAAGCAGCAGCAGCACTCGCGTGAAGCAGCAGCAGCACTCGCGTGAAGCAGCAGCAGCACTCTAGTGAAGCAAGTGAAGCAGCAGCAGCACTCGCGTGAAGCAGCAGCAGCACTCGCGTGAAGCAGCAGCAGCACTCGCGTGAAGCAGCGGCAGCACTCGAGTGAAGCAGCAGCAGCACTCGCGTGAAGCAGCAGCAGCACTCGCGTGAAGCAGCAGCAGCACTCGCGTGAAGCAGCAGCAGCACTCGAGTGAAGCAGCAGCAGCACTCGCGTGAAGCAGCAGCAGCACTCGCGTGAAGCCGCCAGAGCCGCTAGTCAATAAGTCTCAATCATGTCGCATTTAGTGCGTTCTGACGAATAACGAAGCTAGGCAATTATATTATTTATTAGATAGACATCACGGTTACTGACGCCTATGCGTAAAATACGAAGTTAGTTGCCAGTAAGTAAACATATAGGAGCTGTTCTACATCGCCAGTCGTGTGCCGCCAATATGGCGGTGTTTGGCAACCGAGCTTCGCATGGCAGCTATTGCACCATGTTTCAGTGGCAACGCTGGGAGAGACAAGTGTTCAAATTGTTGACATTATTGAATGATTGCTGGTTAACAGGAAGCTCTTCTTCAGACGTGCTACTACTTTTATTAAATCTTTTTCCTACTTATTGTTACCCACGCTTCTCTTTATCACACCAATACTACAGTCTTGCTAAGTTGATAGGGAAAGATAAAGCACCATATCAATCTAATTTAACCCTCAACTTGAAATATTCGGAGAATTTAGTTTTATTACTAACATACAATTTGTAGTTAAATTTGAATAAAATCTTAAAATTAAAATATTATATCTAAAATACAACGAATTTGTTTTACATAAATTGTATTGTTCGTAATGACTTGTGATTGATTCCTCAACAGTAAACCCCAGGCAATATTCCGTCACGATAAGAATTGAATTGGAGCATGTATAATAGCCTTAGTATTTCTGAGATAGTCATCACTTATTATGCTTATTTTTATTTATTATAACTTGCATGTCGTGTGTAGTGATTAAAATATGTTAATGTTCACGTCACGTCAAGATATGTTTATGCACGCACATGTTTCTATTTAATACGCTACCTCCAGGGCGATTAGAGATTTTGTCTACAAATGTCATTGTAAAGGTGAGATTTAATGCGACTTATGTACAAGTTACAAATTTTTAACAATATTTATTAAAGAAAGTTCGCCGTTAAGAAGGAAGCGCTCAGTTTAGTAGATCTATTAGCTTATACAGTGTAGAAAATCTGGAAAATTGAGAGCCCTTGTATGGGCCATCCAGACCCAGTTTGCCCGACAAAAATATCCAGTCATAATAGCGGACAGTCTTGTTCTCACTTGTTCTCAGCATGGAAGTTTTTCCGATACGTAAAATCAATGGCGATATAATTTATAATGGAATGCTCCATTGAACTCTCAAACACACCGTTAAAAAGTAAATGCTAAGAAATTAGTAAATATTACGGACAAAGTTTTCACATGGTTAAGATATGGGCGATCAATCTGTCTATAACAACAGCCATGGTCGCCCGAGGCAACAGCGCGCGGATCGATGCACTGACATGCTATCTGCATTCAAAACAAACAGGAAACAACTTCCTTGCCGCCAACAAACCAAGAGACAATTTCGGGTCTTTATGAACATATAGAAGGCATTATTCTTATAGACAATAAGCATGAGAAGTAGTGGATTTATGACAAAACTTCACAAAAGCAGGAGCCACAACACCGCCACACCTTCACGCCCCGCGGCACACTAAAACACTTGTCAGCTGACTGAGCAGAGCTCGCACTGTCCATGAAAGTCAATACAGAACCTCTGCTTTCAGAAAAATTGATGAGTCACATTGTCGAAATAGTGACACACTTTTGCATGTAGCACTGATACCTCCTTTTGCCGGGCAAAACTGGGTCTTGATGGCCCTTGCAAGGGCTCTCAATTATCCAGATTTTATACACTGCCTTTCTACACTGTATACAAGCTAATTGATCTACTTAACTGAGCGCTTCCTACTGATTATACGGCGAACTTTATTTAATAAATAATGTTAAAAATTTTTGAGATATACATAAGCCGCATAAAATCTCACCTTTACAATGACATTTGTAGATAAAATCTCAAATCGTCCTGGAGGCAGCGTATGAAATAGAAACATGTGCGCGAGTAATTTACATGAGACATGTTTAGCTATTATTGCCACTTCATCTCCATTCCTATCTCAGAATTTTGTGAACGTTTTCTCATTCATTCACACCCAAGAAGCTTGAACTTAATGTCGAACTCTGACATCGCTGTCAGAGATCATCACAGCTCTGACATCGCTGTCAGAGATCATCACAGCTCTGACATCGCTGTCAGAGATCAGCACAGCTCTGACATCGCTGTCAGAGATCACCACAGCTCTGACATCGCTGTCGCAGATCACCACAGCTCTGATAAAAGTATTTTTTCGCTTGTCGCGACATTCACAATTGCCAGCTTGATAATCAGCTAAGTATGAATTATTCAGTATTAGATTATGATATTTTTCTGGAACGTTTTTCCTCAAAATCAAGGCATTGATCTAAATAAAATTTAGTTGTAATTTGCTCATCATATTTGTACACATATCATTACAGAATTGAATTCAAATTTCAAATACATTGGATTATCACCTACCCTCCAGACATATAATGATCACCTACCCTCCAGACATATAATAATCACCTATCCTCCGGACATATAGTAATCACCTATCCTCCGGACATATAGTAATCACCTATCCTCCAGATATATATGAAGGGATGATGTGTTCACTTGGGAAGTCTGATCAACTGCGTAAAATGGAAATTATAATAAATATTGATTTATTTATTGAAATTATTTGCTTGATAATAACTTACAATTAATTTAATTGAATGACTTATTTTTTATTCAATTTTAATTTCCTGGATATAACGTGGAGTAGACGAAAACAGTGACTAATAATCGAATATGCCTTGAGATTGAAATTCTTTTATTAGAAGGAACATGTGACTTCATTTTGCCGTAACGGTTTTATTTTCTTCTGTTTAATTTACGTTACTTAAATTCGATTGGATAAATCTGGCAAACGAATAAATAATTTTTTTAATAAGGCCGAAGAAAACGCAAGGATTAAATTATTAAAATTAATGCTTCATTTTCCTCTGTCCTTTATTTTAGGTTACTAGTTTATCATTGCGAATTCGATATTCTAAATTACGTGATTTATGCTTCATGAGGATAACTGCTACAGGTTGGTACAGGTTATCAGTTGGAATCCTGTTCGCAAACGT